GCTGTGAGTGCTCTGGGAGCATAAAACCTTGAGAAACCCTTGTTGGAGCTGTCCTTCCCATGCCAGGGAGAATGCTCTGCAGGAACACATCTGCATAAAATACAGGCATTTGTTTGGCTAAGGTGCTGCTTTTACATCATGTACTTGTTAGAATCAAAGTGAGCCATCCACATTTTATTCAGATAGGCTGCTTGCTTCGATGTTGCTGATGGACTTGAGTCATGTTTTTAAATTCCCCTTCAGCTATTGTAGCTTTCTCTCGATGCATTTGCTTTTCTCTCTCTCTCTCTTCAAGCTGCTACTTGCAAGACATCTCCCTCATTATTGACCATTGTTTCCTTCCCCTTCCAGCCTTTCACACACAATTGGAGGGTTTCATTTTCCCACCTTTTAAAACCTTCTATTGTTCTGTTTCTGTCTGCACCCCTGACCCAGATTCGTCACACAAAGCAACCTCTCATCCTTGGGGACCGAGGTTTTATTTCAGCTCTCAGGTAAATTCTGATCTGTGTATCTGTATCGCTGCTGGCAGAGCTTCAGATATTTGCAGGTGCTGCCACACTGAGCCTGGCAGTTTTTCTTTTTAAAAAGGGAAACGCCATGAGATTCGAGCTCTTTTGGATTGGAATTTCTACTCCTCTTACCTTCTAACCTATCAAAGAGGTGTCAGACACTGGCTCTGACACGTGGCAAGTTTTAAGCAATACCCAGCGATTTTTTAATGTAATCTAAGTAGAAGATTCTCTGTCTTTACTTGATGTTGTATAAGCATCTCAAAGTAAAGCCCTGAGGTGAACATGTCTCCCTTCTGCAGACACGTGCAGCTCTCGGAATGTTTTTCTTGCATTGCTGCTGTAATCTGAGTGAAGGCTTGTTTAGAATCATGTGAGCATGGCAAGAGAGAAGGGTCTTCATTTCCCGTGATTTTAATTTCGCTTATGTATTGTAGCTGTACATTCATCAGCTTTTAAATTCCTTTGGAATCTACCTGCTTACACCTTAGCTGCATTGTTATTAAAATACTTGGGAATCGAGTGAGGTGTTTTCTGCAGAACTGGAGAGCTTGGCAGTGGCCAGTTAGCTCCATCACACGAAGAATTACCTGTGGTTGAGCTGTCCACAGGGCTGTGCCTGAGCTGAGCGCCTTCCCAGCTCCTTGGTGCTGGTTTTTAAGGATGTTGTGGTGAGAAGTTGCTGGGGAGAGCAGCGTGACACTGCCCTGCTCCCAGAGAGTGAGGGCTGGGGATGGTGATGGAGCGGCAGTGCCCGGTGATGGAAGGGGTGTCTGGCACATGGCTGTGGAACTCACACTGCTATTTTTTGCTTTTCCTTCTAATTGATAGCTTCTGCCATCTGTTCCCGAGCCATCCCTCTGCTGTCCTTTCCTACGCAGTCTCCTGCTCCCGTTCCACCCTTCAGACTCAGCCTGGCTGCCTCAAGGTTGCTGGTTGGTGCCACTGGCAGCTGGGTGCTGAGAGGTTACTGACAGTGGCAGCAGGGATACCACTGAAGTTGGTGCAGCTAAGGCTCCTCCAGCATGATTTTGGTGGGCTCACGTGCTTCTTTCTGAGAAAACTCCCCAGATATTTTTGCAGAAAAATACAAAACCCAAACCCTTCGCTTTATAAAATAGGTTTAATTGTGTGACTGAGTTGAATTCCTGAATCTGGGTTCCTGACCACCTTGTGGCTTTCTGAAATGAGTAAATACTCTAGAACACTGTAGCAACCTAGTTTAGGTCCCCCACTCCCCCCCCACCCCACCCCCAAGAGCCTTTATGTACTTTACTGTCTCTATTTGAATCTCTCTCTCCTTGCCTAACTCTCCATTTGGTGGCTTAACATACAGGAACCCTGTTTTATAGTGGAGAAAAATGCATTTCTACATGCTAAGAACTGTATTTTTAACAGAAACCTAGATGTTAAAGGGATTTTTTTCTGTCAAGAACTCCAAAATTGACAAAATCAAACAAGAATAAAATCAGAGTGGTCATAGCTGTGTTCTGCCATTATCTGAGGAGCCTTGGCCCTTGGAGGTGTTGATGGGATGATTATATCAGAGCTTTGGGCATCATTTTTTTGCTTCTTTAAAGGCATCCAAGTGCCCAAAAATAGATCCTCAAGAGCATGTAAGTCTGATTTTCCACAGATTTCTGATGGGGGCTGTGGACTCAAATACCTTTAAAAAACTGGGAGCTTATTGTTATAAATATACAAAAAATGCTCATCAAAATTAACTTTGGAGCCTAATTTCTGTTTGAGGTGGCTCTTCCCTCTAGACACATCCCCATGCAGAGCTGCCACACATTTTCCTGAGCACCTACCAAAGGAGTAGGGAAATGAGAGTTTACTTCACCTCTGGTTAAAAGGTCTTCGTAATTTTTAGGCTAAGGATGTTTATAGCTTATGGGCTATATTGGGGTTTTTGTACTAATATAATCAAATTATTAGGTTTTTCTCCTCAGACAACAATACCAAGACTACAGTTGTGAGGCAGAAAATCTTTCAGGAAAAAGTGGAAACTGCTGGAATATTTTCTTTCTAAATTTCCCAACACCACAGAATCCAGGACTTCAGTTAAAATAAACAAGTCCTAATAAGCTATAAGCGAAAATGAGGAAAAACTCAAAAACTGCAGCTGCAACTATTCACTGACTTCCTTGATTGTCATATTTTCCCACTGAACAATAGTGGTTATTGCAGGAGGCTCTGCTATGTAGGAAGAAATTATATTTCCTGTGTTGGGGAAAAGACAGACAGTTAAATGGAACAAAATGATATCAGGTGAGATATTTGCTGGTGTAGGTCGGAAAGAGTTCCCACCATTTCCATGAAACTCAATAATTTCAAGTGGCTTTCATATTTTTTTATGTTTTTCTAACGCTGATTAGAAACCTCGGGTGATGAAATGTTATGGCTCTGGCAAGAATCTAATAAAAATCCCCCTTGGGATTGGTTTTGATTGACTGCAGTCGCCTGTCTGTTTTTGTTTTACTGTATCTGAACAGACAGGAATGAGCACAATTGGGTTAACCCTGTCCTTGCTGGGATGAAAGACTTTGAGCCACTGACACCCTCAAAAGGAAATTAGGATTCCATTAATACTCACAGTTCCTTTGTCATTTGTGGCTCCAAATATAATCAGGGGAATTGAATGAAGATATTAGGAACTGTAAAGCACAAAAGCTTGTGATTCAAATTAGGGGCACAGTTCTGGTGTGGCAGTTCTTGCTCTGGAAATTGCGTTGGTTCTTCTGGGAAGCTCATTAATGCACATATTTATAAGTTAATGAATAAAAGTTCAAAGTTATTCTTTAGAAAGCTTTGCATCTGTTAAAAGTTAAGAAGAAGATCCTTCCTGTCAAATAAAGATGTTTAATGCTGTTTCCATCATTTTCCCGGTAAGATTTTCACCTGCTAAGAATAGTTTCTTTTTAAAAGAAATGGAATCAAAACATAAAATTTTATTAGAGAAGCATTATTTTCTTTATAAATTAGAGGCTGGAATGTTAAGTTTAAACTATTAAATTAATTTATGATTTCTAATTCTTTTCACTGTTACGTTAACTGTGAGATCATTATACAGAAAGACATTAAATTCATTCAAGTAATTTATTTTCTGTCTTGAAGCAGTTTTCTCATAAGAAACACCCTTAATTTTCAAAATAGATGCATTAGTGATCATCAGAGAAGCCTGAAATGGAATAAATATTTATTAACTGTTACATAGTTTATGTTATTATGGCAGTTTTTTAATGTAGGTTACTCTTTTTTTTTAGGCAGTGAATTTCCTGTTCTTTGATATCTTTGTATCTTAGGTTTAACTGGATATGCTTAAAATTTTTGTGCTTTTTAGCACCTCCCCCTGCTTCCTGTCTGCCTGTCTCAGTTATTTGCACTTCCTCTGGAAGCATGTTTGCACTGCCTGGAACAGCTATAAATCTATTTTTTTTAGAATTAGTACTTTAAAAACGTCACTGGTTACATCTTGTGTTTTCTGACATTGACAGAAGTGTGGCATTGAATTCAGCAAAAGAGCTTGATCAATTTTATTTATTTTTTCCCCATGCAAAAATAAATTCTCTTTTATTCCAGTGCAATGGAAGGGGAAGGGGAAATAATTGTGCTTTTATCTCTGTTTGAGACTGGAATATAGGCCATAGGAAGGTATTCTGTGTAGTGACAGGTTTGTCTCCCTTCTTAACGGAGTAATGGTGTGAAGATTCGTGTGACTTGTACTTTTCCTCAAATTGCTTTTGTGGAACATTGCAGTGAGCAAGGAAGTAAATAAATAGGGGAAAGGAAATAAATAGGGGAAAGAAGATAAATAGGGGAAGGGAGATAAAAGGGAAAGGAAATAAACAGGGGAAGGACATAAAGAGAGGAAAGGAGATAAAAAGGGGAAGGGAAAGGGAATAGAAAGGGGAAAGGAAATAAAGAGGGGAAAGGGAATAAAGAGGGGAAAGGAGATAAAGAGGGGAAAGGGAATAAAGAGGGGAAATTGAATAGCAAAAAGGAAATAGTAAAAAGTGAGTAAATTGCAACAAGAAAATAAACAGCAATAAGCAAGTAAGCAGTACAATCCTCTGTGCAGCGAAAGTCAGCTGTGCAGATTTGGAGCTGAACGCCTGTCCCCAGCAGCTCCCGCTGCCCAGGCTTCCCTGTTCCCAGGTGCAGCTGCAGGGGTGCCCTGTCCCACCTTGGCAGATCCCTGGTTGTTTTCCACCTTGGCAGATCCCTGGTTGTTTTCCCCCGGGCTGTGTCCGGCTCCCCGCAGCTCCCTCAGCCCGTGCTGGCTCTGCACGCTGCGGGCTGGGAGCGGAGCGGGAGCATCGTCTGGAGGCTGTGGCTGCAGGTTCACATGACTGATGCTGGGAACGAGAGCAGGAGCCTTTTTTTCCCTTTATTTTTTTTTTTTTTTTTGAGGAGCTCCAGTCTGTGCACAGTTGGCTCCCAGCTGACAGACAGAATGTGGGGTGGGCTTTGTCACCAGAACGCTGGGTACTGCATGCCCAGCTATGCTCGCAATTGCACGGTGCCCAGAAACCTGCTGCTTATGTCAGGGTGCAGCCAGCCTGAACACCTAGAAATTGGGTAGCTCAAGTAATTTTTTTTATTATTATTATTTTTTTTTTATATTTTTTTTGCCTCTTTCTTCCCAGCAAAGGTTATATAATGAGGGGATTGCTGCTAAAGTAAAAAGGGAAAATGAAGTCTTTGTTAAATGCCTTCACAAAGAAAGAAGGTAAGCGATGAAAGCAGAACACTTTGATGTTTCAGACCGGTGTTTTCTTGTGTACATTGAATATGATGGGTTTAGTGGCTCTGTAATTAATCAATTCCTGCAATTTCTTTTTCAAAATTATTTGATGTTAGACAGTCCATTTAGGCAAGTGGTTATTAAAGCTGGATGTGACTTTGTTCCTTTTAGGATTTTCTCTGAAGATTCAAGTACTTATAGAAATGTTTTTGTTCCCTAAGAAATGCATTTGGAGACACGTTAAGGATTTTCCAGGGTGAATTTTGTCAGTAAATGGTGCTGAAATGCCCCTTCAGATGTATGAAGTGCCAGGAATAGAATTGTGAGAGCTGGAGGAAGGATTATATGGTACTTTCAAGTATGCTTTTAGGGATGATAAATTTAAACTTTAGGGGCATGTAATTAGTTCAGGCATTTTCTTGTGGTTTTATATCAACTGTTTTTCCCAGACAAGTTTTGCAACAGTTAGACTTACAGTTCTGAATGTGGGGAAATATTAGGGAAAATCACTGTCCAACTGGGATTAAAGGGTGGACGTTTGCATTTCATCGTATTGTGTTGTAGTTATTTTAATGTTATTCTTGTGAAATTAATAAAAATAATATTGATAAGAAGAAGCTAAAAAAATATCCACCCACCTACAGTTTGCAGATTGCTGGGGAAAAGAAACAGTTGGGTGGAATATTAATCACTTCAGGCTCCAAAATGCTTATTTTTAACTCTTTCTATAAAAGATTTGTGTTAGACAAGCATCAATTGGTGTCATTACTCGTCCTCTTTCCTGATTATTTTCTGTAGTAAAGGCTAATTTTGCTCGTAGTTCCCTCCTTAAGAATAGAGCATCAGTAGCAAAGCGAAAGCTCAACTCCTCAATGAGCATGTCAAATCCTTCTAAGGCATGGAAGGGAGAAAGAGGAAAAGGGTACCTGGAGAGTGATTCCTCGTTTCTGTTGGTATAAATGTGCTCAGCAGCTTTCTGTCCATTCTGTCACCCTGCCCCTTGTGCTCCCTCCCCTCCCACCAGGATATCCCACCAACTTCTCCAGAGTGCCAGCGAACACCCCAAACCATTGGCAGGATTTATTTTATCTGGCTGTGGCTGGAAGGCTGGGCAGGCTGCTCGGAGTGGCCCCTCTTTAAGTTCATGGAAAATTAAAATCTAAGGGTCAGAGTCAATTTCTGCTGAATCCAAAGCAAACTTTGGCATGATTAGACCTTCAGGTGGCAAAACTGCCAAACGTTGCCTATATTCAGTTTTGTCTGCTTTCTCCTTGACTGGATTCTGCTCTGTTGAACCTGGGAAAGATCCTCATCTTCAGTGAGGTAATTCCTAGGGTCAGATTCCAAGTGTCAAAAATAGAGGAGTGCAGAAATGTCACATCTGTGTCCCCTGCATCAATCTAAGGATCTGTGTATGCCAATTTGGGAGACAAATGCTTAGAGTTTTCTTTAACTTGGCACTCAGCAGGGCTTTCACTGTGACATCTAAAGCACCCAGGGGCTCTGAGTGCCACACTCAGCTGCTTAGAAACATTGCAAAAATAGGAAATGGGAAAAACTTGAAATGCCATGACAATTATACAGAGTTTCTGCCACTTTCCAGCATAAATATTGGATTTCTCTGCTTTATCCCCTTGAACAACTTTAAAGAGTGCTTCTCTTATTTCAGCCTTGTCTCAAAGGAAATATGGATTTTAAGCCCTTTCTCTCTGTGCACACTGTTCTCTTGTTTGGTTGTTCTGATGTTGTTGTTTACTAGAGAAAGTTTCAGCTCATTAGAAATACAAAGGATGCTGTTTTAAAATATTCAGAATTGTAGTTAATCATAAACTGGTTCTGGTGAAAATTATATAAATAATTTTTCTCCTTGTGGTTCCATCTCTATTTTATGCTATAAATAAGCTCTCAGTTTTGCTCTGAAACCTTACATTTTGCTTTGTTCTCTCAATTAAAGGTTCTATTTCAAGGCAGGACAGATTGATTCCTATGTATATTCATATTTATGTGAATTTATTTACTTGCACAGTATGACAGACATTCTTATTCTGTTTTTTTTGTGTGGTTTTGAAGGGTATTGAATGAGTAGACATTTCTGGCACTTCATAAATGGCACTTACTGGCACTTTAGACATGTAGGATGATATTTTGTGGGCCTTCTTTCCCAATTTAAATATGACTTTTTTTTGAGAATTACAGCAGCTCAGTGAAGTCCTCAGAATAATGCCTGGCTGATAGTTTTACTATTGTGACTTTTCAGGTGTAAATATCTGCACTCTGGCTCAGCTCCTGTGACCCCACAAGCTCCACTGAAATAAATTAATGAGGGTGGTTGCAGCAGTGGGAAGCAAGTCAAGAATGAGTTTTTGTGGTCAAATTCTCTATTACCTTATGAAAGGATAGGAAATATCACATCTAGGTAATACCTGGGTGTCTTTTTGTGAGGAAATTTGCCTTTAAGTTGCACTTGGAAGAAACTACTACAGGGAGAAAAGGTGATCTGGAAAGCAGTATCTGCTTGTGCAGATGTCCCAGGAGCACTGATGAGGGGATGGACCCTCTGCTCTGGGTTAGATTTTTCCTGCCCTTGCCTCCTTTGCTGTTGTGACTGTTTCATTAATAAGTATTTTGCAGCCTTTGGATCCAGCCGTGTTCCCTTTGGGACAGGGCACGTGACAGGCAGTGTGTTCCCCTCGGGTAAAATGTTCTATATACAATAGGAATGGATGTGGTAGAAGTGCCTAGATTAGAAACAGGGGAATACCTGGGGATTACAGCCATGTAATAGAGTTCTGCCAGGAGAAGAAGCCATGGCCTCAATTTTTAACCTGGAAGATGGGGATAAGGTGACTATTAACACTACAGATTTTGGGTTAGGCCTGAACTTGGTGATGGACCAGTTTGGGTGCCAGCTGGGAGAAAGAAGGTGCAAGTTCACGCCTCAGAAGTTCTGCTGGTCAGCCCTGTTCTGTGCCTTCCCGATGGAACGTGACAACACGGCACGAAAATGAAATTTCTGAACCTCCAACTTGGCAATAATGAGGTGAATCCCATTTCCTAGACCATAGTTCAGGCTGTTCAGCTCACTCGTGCCACTGGTGTTGCTCAGCTGTTCATCCAAGCCAGTAAACAGGTCCATATTGCTCTGTTGTTTTCAATTTTACTGATGTTTTGAGGTTAATGAGTTCGATCAGCTCTGCTGGCAAGGTAGAGTTTCTGTCTCTGCAAAACAAACAATGCCATATGTTGCTGAATGATTTTATATGCTGGTAAACACATGTGAGTGGTGAAATCATCTGAGATTACCCTGAATGTCTTTCTTCACACAGTGCCCTTTAGGGAGGCTCCCACCTATTCCAACAGAAGGCGGAGACCCCCGAGCACCTTGGCAGCCCCTCGGATACTGCTGCGCTCCAACAGCGACAACAACCTCAACATCAACAACCTCCCTGAGTGGTCAGCGTCCTCCTCTGCCTCTTCACACCGCAGCCTTTCACCTCATCTGCTTCAACAGATGCAGAATAATCCCAATGGAACTGTAAAAACCGTAGGGAGTTACACTCCGTCCTCGCGGAGCCGCTCGCCGTCCCTGAACAGGCTGGGAGACGATGCCAAGCGGCAGCAGCACAGGCACATCAGGTGACTTTTATCTGCTTGAGATACCCCTAAAGCCATTGTGCTGCACTGCCACGTGTTTTATGTTATTTATGTGTCCACTTTGCACTCTCTGTAATATATAGGTATTAAATCTCAGCACAGTGGACCGTGTCCAAGTGTGAATATTTTAATTGGAAGCACCAGTCAAAGCCAGCTGTTTCCTCACAGGGCTCCAGCAGCCAGGCAGGCTTTAAAGTTCAGCAGAGCTCAGCAGTGACTTAACACAGGGTTTGCACCTTCAAATCAATGTGCTAAGCTCTCAAGATCTTTAATTGTTGAAATAAGGATTGAATTTAACAGCATAGTAAAATGTTTCTGAGATATCGGTCATGCCTGGAATTTATGCTGGAGCTGCTCATGGGTGATGGAACAGAGAATGTTTAAGTTCTCTCTTGTGTAGATGTGTGCTGAACCAAGGAGTAAAATGGGGGGAATAAATGGAAGCTGACCTAGAGCAAAGGGGGCTTCTTGAGATGGTGGTGATAGATGTCATGGACTTCTTTCATGATTATCTGTGCTGCAGGGTTTTGCATTACCTATGGCTTTGCTGCTCTTCCTTTCCTCTTGAATTACAAATGTGATTTAGCAGGCACTCTACACAAATATCCTGCAGCCATGTCCCACTGGAGAGCAAATCCTGACTAATTAGAGTGATGTATGTTTTGTAAGTAATATAAAAAACAGAGGACTGGGTCTGATTTTTGATCTCAAATGAGGGCTGCAGCTTCGAGAAGCCACTGCCCTGTGAGGAGGCAATTACAGCTCCACTTTGACTCAGGAACTCAATCTGCCAAGGGTGCAAGAAATGGAGCTGCACGAGGGTGAGGGGTGTTAAAGTGCAGAGCTGCCAAAGTGAAGGTATTAGAACTGAGAGCTGATGGAGGGAGCTAAAGCTTACATGTTCTGACCAAACACATTTCACTCACCAGTCATTTAAAATACCAGTCTTTGTCTGTCTTGTTTCATATTAGTAAAAAGAAATCCAGTATTCAGAGTAGAAAAGGACTGGAGCATTGTCAGGAAATGCAGCTGTTGGTTTCCCTTTGTCATTTGTAGGTGTCAGGGATCTTCACTGGAGCTTCCAAGTCAGTAAAACAAAATGCCATGTAGTTGACACTGTCTCTGTTACCTTGCACATCCTTCTTCTCTCCTTGGCCACGAGCACCCAAACTGACAAGCACTGTTTGTGATAGTAGCAATGCTGCTGCAGAGGCGAGAGGATGGGGCACTGTAAAACAAAGTTGTCTGAAGTGGAAGAAAGACTGGAATGAAATGGGAGGAACGGGATGGGAATTTCTTATGCCAGTGTTTTCATGCAGCAAGCTCATCTTTGGTGCATGCTGCAATAGTGGCAGAAGCTCTTTTGGGTGCAGTTAGGTTGGTGTCTCCTCACAGAGATCAGCATCCACTAAAACCCAGTCTGGAATGAGAATTCAACCAGGTGAGGAGGTGGCCATGAGGTGCTTTTCCAAGAATGAGCTCTTGTATTCCCCTGGATTATACTGGTGCCACCAGAGTGGGAGGTTTTACCTCAGAGTCAATGATTATTTCAGCTGGAAGGGATAAAAAGAGCCTTTTCATCTATATTTCTGGGATGAAACACTTCAAATTCTAGAAGCATGGTCAATTCTTAGAGATGGGGGTAACAATTAGGAATTTTTTTTGACTGAGCAAACATTGCTTTGCTTTGATTTTATTCAGCCACTTTCCTCTTCCCTTCCTAAAAATGAGCACAAATCAATGGTGGAAACCAATTTAATACCTGAGAGTTTGTGGAAATAAAATTTTGATCTTCCTCTTAGTGCATCAGTGTCACAGCTACGGTCTTGATGTGCCATCAACACTTGTTTCAGAGAAGTCCAGGGTATGTGCAAGTACTGAGAGGAGAGCTGGAGACTCTCTAAATTTAAAGATAACCAAAAGGATTTAATATCTTATTTTGCCTGCATATAATGCCTTTTCTTGCCACAGGCCCGTTTTGCAGTCATGAATGGCACCTTGCATGGCTTTCCTCGCAGATTTTTTTTTACCCCATGACCGCTTACTTTCAGTCAGCTAAATGTGGGAATTGTTGCTCTCTGCTTATTATTTGCAAATAATTCACCAAATTCACCATGAAGCTGTTGCTCCCCTTAGATGAAAAACCCTTTTTGACATAGCACCAGGTGGGGTTGTGGAGCAGGAGCATCCAGAAGGGGCAGGGGACTAGAAAGGATGAGCTGTCAAGGGTGGCCCCCTTCTTCTGGGAGAGAGTGGAACATGTCCACACATCTCCTGAAATCTCTGAAACCTTCTCCTGCCCTTCCTGGCATGGGATTTGCTGGGCTTGGAAGCCAAGCTGGGGAAAGGAAAGCTCGGTTATTTTAAAAAATGATCTCCGGCACATTGCAGCCCTGATTTCCATCAGTGGGCCTGTTGCAGGAGAAGTTATGCATTCACTGTGTGGGTTAAACGTGTCATTTCCTTTTTCTCCTTCAGTAAGAGAGAAAATGAATGTATCTTCTGATAGCAGTTGAAGTAGATTCTGGGAGAATAGCTGCTCCCAGACAAGGCAGAAACATGGCTTGATGCAAGTGGAAATTGGATATGTAGCAACAGTTTGTAGATCTGCATTTTTTTATGGTGATGACTGTTCCTTCACTTAGAAGGAAAAAGAAACAGAGCAAAGAACTGAAAACCAAACGTCATCTTTCCCAGTCTATCTATAAACGACTGTGAGAGTTGGCTGAGGTTTCTGATGCAAAATCCTTCATGGATATGCAACCAGAACTCCCTGTTAAACTCCTAAATATCATTATTAGCACCTCTTCACAGTAATGGAAGAACAGAAGGAGGTGAACAGGGGATGCTCTTCCAAAGGGTGAAGAAGTTACAGCAGGAAAACCAAAGTGTTCCTGATATGAAAGATTCACCACATTCGAGTTCTTCTGTATCCACTGACTTACTGACTCCTTTCTTAGTAGGAGATTGGTAAAAAAAAATGAAAAGGGTGAAAACCCAGCAAACTCCAGCCCTTTTATTTCATTTTAATGCAAAGCACTTAAAGCAGTTTGAGATATTTTCTTACCAGAAAGGAAGTGTTAAAATGCTAAATCACCATTAAACCAGGTTTCTTCCTTTGGCTTACTATTTTTTTTCCCCTATAAATCTTTATTAATATTCTCCTTTCTCATGAATATTTTCTGGTTTCAGACTTTCTGTGTAAGACCTCAAGTTTTAATGCTTTTTTTTTTTTTTTAAAGTAGAATAGCAGTGTACTGCAAGTTTGTTATGTTATCTCCTATAGGTTTCTCACTCTCTTTAATATTTGCCTCTTTTTGTATATTTTTGACAGTTCATTTGTTTTTCTAGAAGTTTGGTAATGATCTTACGCATTTTTCACCACCTTTCAATAATTTGTTCTTTATGCACCATAAGTGTGTTGCTCGATGAGCTGTGGCTTGTTCTGAAGTCATTGAGTGAGTTGGTGTTTGCCATCAAGGAAAAGTGATACTTTGGAGAATATTTGCCATAAGCACCATGGTTTGTGCAGGTCTAAATTGAGCTCCAGACCTTGGAGTAACTTGATTATTCAGTCCATTTAGTTAATAATCCAGTTGACTCACTTGTTCACTTGAAGATATCCATTCCCAACAATAATTGTAAATACTGAGGTTTTCAAGTCCTTCTGATGAATTGAGGTGCTGATAATGCATGATTTGCACATAAATTTTAGATTTTAGTAGGCTCTGTGAATGTGCAAGCTTAATTTGCAGGAAAACTAAAAGCTTTAATGTTGTGTGTTTTCTGTTCTAGGACATTATAGTCAGGTGAATATTGATCATGTTTCATATTGAAAGATATCAACCCTTAAAAGCTTCTGCTCGTTATGAAAACCATGTATTTTTTCTGCAGAGTTGGATGTCTTACTGGAAGACAATTAATTTGCTTAATTTAATCCTGCTAATGTGATGGTAAATGATTAACTTTCCCATTTTAAATAAGCTGTTAATGATGTTTAATTTCAATTTCCAGTGCCATTTACAGTCCTAGTGCCAACAAGGATACACTGTCTGCCTTGGATTATCAGGGTCCCAAACGGAAGCTTTACAGTGCTGTACCTGGAAGACTTTTTATTGTAGTAAAGCCATATCAACCTCAAGGGGAAGGGGAAATTCACCTGCACAAAGGAGACAGAGTCAAAGGTGAGTACCTAGTTGATTCTGAATACGCATTTTTCTTCTTCTAGATGGAAATTTTATAACAAAATGCTGTTTTAGGGGGGAAATAACCTGCTCAGTAGAAGTGCTTTTCTGCATTTGTTTCTTTCCAGGGTATTTTGCTCCTAGCTGTGTTTTGGAACCAATGCATATTCAGCCCCCATTTTATCTTCCAAGTCCTCCTAAAAAATCCGAAGTTTGTGCAGTAATAGCACTGTCTCTTACCCAGAGCACATAATATACTCCTGTAGTCATTACAGATTGGCCACTCCAGGGCTTTGAAAGGCTGGAAACAGCTCAGGAAGGAAACAGGGATAAGAGCAACTCTGTTTTCAGCCCTTTCCTCCTGGAACAATTTATTGGCTAAGTAGAAAATGTCCCCTGGTGAGACTCAGGATAAGCAGGTAGGTAGAACCCGCTGGAAACACTTTGGGGAGGAAGCGTGGTGGTGCATGTTTAATTCCTGTCCTCTGGGGTTCTTCCCCAGCTAAGACTGTGCTTGCAGCAAGGCCAGGCTTTGTGGTGTTATTTTGGAGGCAGTAAGTACATCCACGTACAGGTGAGAAATTGGCTGATGTGGTTTACAAGACTCACCTTCCTGAGGGTGAGGTGTGATGCAGTTCCAGCTCTGATTTTGCATGTCCAGGTGGAACTAGTCAGGGAATAAAAAAAAGACTTTTTTTAAGGCATACGAATCAAACAACAGTTATGGAAATCAAGCAAAAGGGAATAAATTCAGTGTCCTAAATAGAAGTGTTAAGCTGCTGCAAATTTTCTTGTACTGGAAACTACTTATCTCACAAAGGAAAACTTCAAATACCTCCTCCCTTGAGCCTGCAAAGAGTAGTTGGAAAAAAACTAGGGAGCCATTAGAAGGTATTTTTGCATTTTTATTTTTGGATGTACTGATTCTGAAGCGTTTGTGGGTTTAATAATTTTTGTTAACTCAGAAGGTGTAGAACTGAACTCTAAAGAACACTGCACTTGAAGATAAAACATGTGCAAGATTCATTTTGAAAGCAAGGATGAAGGAGGAAGGTTAAACTTAGGAGAGTCTGTAGGGCTGAAAAGACAATTTTGCTGTTCTCAAGCTTGTTCCATGATCAGGTAGGAAGTAGTGAGTATAATTTCCCAATTAATGGAAGTTATCTAGGCTAGAGTCCAGTAGAAGACAAACTCTGAGGTTGTAGAATTGCTTGGGAATGCCAAATATCAAATTTGACAGCTTTGCATGTTTGGGAACCAGCTTTGCAGGCATCCAGTGTGTGAGAATAAATGCAGGAGAAGTAATGCAGAACAACTTCCTAAAAGCCTTCAGGTGTCAAAAGAATGGGTATATCTAGAGTTTGGAGCTCACTGGAAGGGTGAAGGAACAAGGCAGTTGAGAAAGATGCTTGTTGGGCAGCTACATGAAAAGGAAAAAAATGTTGCGTGGAGTAGAAAACAAAAGATTAAAAACAAAACAAAAATAAAACCAGAGACTTAAGCACACCCCAGAGCTCTTTGCTTATTTATAGTCTCTGGAATTTGATTATAGCGGGAAAAATTGCCAGTACCTTCAAAGAATGAAACTTTGGGGGGATGAGTGGTAGTAAATAACTTTCTGAGTGTGTTTATGGGGATTAACGAAGTGCCAAAGGACACAGAATGAGTGCTGTTGAGCACCATCATCTGCTCCTTGGGGGATCTTGTACACAGAGGTGTTCTTGTTGGGTTGAATTATGTAAGAAGATGTTTGTTCTGTAGAGGATGCAAGACCAACAAAGATTCCTCTCACTAGAATAAGACACCAGACAGTGCAGGCAGTTCTGGAGAGAGACGAGACAGAAACTGTGTGTCCTGGCAAAAGAGGAAACACTGCTGAATTTTTTAGAGTTATTCATCATCTGGCTGCTGGTTTGCAATGGGATTGGAGACTATTATATGCAAAAATATCCTAAGAATAAGGAGTTTAAATTTCAATTCCAAGGAAGAGTTTAATATTTTTAAAAAGTTAATTCAGGACCCCTTGGTTCTAAGTTGTTATGATAGTAACAGGAAAACATTGCAAGAAGTAATTAGTCCACTTCTCAAATTTTCTTGTGGTGGTTTGATGTAAGTGGTGAAACCAATGATTTTGGTGGGGGCAGCAACCAATGGATGTCAGAATGCTGAAACAGAAAATGAGATTAAGGCTGTTGTTTTTGGGTTCGTGTGTTTGTTTGGTTGGTTGGGTTGGGTTTGTTTTTAATTATTATTTCTGGGGAAAATGTAAGTTTGTTGAAGAAAACCTGTAAATTAATTATTAGGGTTAGCAAAAGGGGGACATGCCCATCCAACATAAAATCATCCCTGCAGGGGTTATTTTTTCAGCTTCAAGAATATGGTTTACACTTAGAATTAAAATCTTGCAGAGGTCTAGCTTTTCCAGGTATGTTTGTTTTAAATCATTTTAGGGAACTTTGCTGCAGTAAAGCCTAGTGAGGTTCCTATAGATGTCAGCCTGCTTTTGGGGAGTTTGGGAAAAGAACAAATCTATGTAGGGAATTTCAGAGTTCCTGCTTAGGATTAAATCTGGTGAAACACAATTTAAGGCTGTTTGCATGGCAGGGCTGGGACACTGTGTGACACCCTCAGTGCTATCAAAGGAGAAACTTCCAGAACAAGATGAAATCCTGTTTTATGTTACCATGTCAGTGGTTCCTCAGTTGCCACCAAAAAATATGTCAGACTGAACACAGCAAGGTCATGTAGAGAAGAAGGAGTTCAGGCAAAAAGACAGTAACACTTTAAAAAGGTCTCAGTTGTGTAACAGTGTTGAAGAAGCCACTCAAAGCCAGCATTTGTGTCAAAAATCCAGGCCCACTTAAACCTGGATTCCTGTCCTTGTTCCAGTAAAATGTAATTATTTATAGAGAATAAGTGTAGTGATAGGACAAGGGGGAATGGCTTTAAGCTGAAAGGTGGTAGATTAAGACTAGATTTTAAGAAGAAGTTCACTCCTGTGAAGGTGGTGAGCCCCTGGCCCAGGTTACCCAGAGAAGCAGCTTGCTGTGTGCTCGGAAGGAGAGAAAGAACAATAAATCCCATGGAATTCAGTTTTTACTCACTTTGGAAACACTTTCCCCTCACCTTTGGAAAACAAAAGCTTTGACTTAGCCCCTCTCCTCTGCCAAGCTGGTAACTGCACTGTTCTTACAATGCACTGATGCCAAAGTGCTGCCCTCTGGCATTGTCTGTGGAATTCCGATGTGTTTTGGCACTTGCTGTGGGATTCTGCCCCGTGCTCAGTCTGGCCCTGGGGAGATGCTCATCACATGTTCCTCCCATGAGACTAATCACAGTTAAGATGTAGCAAGGCAGTTATTACAGGGATAAAAACCACAACAACATATTAGAGAAGGGGATTAGTTGGGAAATGTTTTTATGGATTTTCTTTTTTAACTTGGTAGAATTAGAAGGGTCACAGAGAGAGGGATGGATTCCTAAACTCTTGATGAAAAGTGTTTTCATCAGATGGAGAGGGAGCGATTTGTTTTTTCCTTTTTCAAACTGGTAGAAGTGTATGAGTGACAATAGTTCACAGTGTATGATACAAGGAAGCTGCTCAGAGAAATCTGTGAATGGGCAAAGTTCAAAGGAAATGTAAACTAAACATTGTTTTTAAACTAAAATGGTCTTGTATTAAAAGGATGTTACGTAGCCTGTACCAAAATACCTTCTTTATTTTTAGTTGTTAGTCATACCCACTGACATCATCTGTGTGTCTCCACTGTTGAGAGAAGAGCCATGGCTGTTGTAAAAATAAATCTGATATCTTTGTTTGTACCAGAACTATCCTAATCTTATGTTTTCACATGAATGAAGCCACTGAAACAATTTTAATTTATTTTTTATTTTCTTTGTTCTATGTGAAAGCCCATGGCAACAGATCTGCCCCGAACTAAATGCACACATATGTACATAAAGTATCTGTAAAATGAATTTAAATCTACTTTTGCATTCCTGAATTTAACTATTACACTGGAAATCAAGTGGTCTCACAGCTATTTTTTTTTTTTTAATAGAATCCCAGAATGGTTTGGGTTGGAGGGAACCTTAAAGACCACTTAGTTTCCCCCCTCCCTGCCACGGGCAGGGACACCTTCCACTAGTCCAGCTTGCTCCAAGCCCTGTCCAACCTGACCTTGAACACTTCTAGGGATGGGGCAGCCACAGATTCTCTGGGTAAACAGTTCCAGTAGCTCCCCACCCTCACAGGGAAGAATTTCTTCCTGATATCCAATCCAAAGCCACGCTCTGCCAGTTTGAAACCATTCCCCCTCGTCCTGGCACTACCTCCCTGTGGGAAAAGGTCCCCTTCCAACTCAAGCCATTCTGTGATTCTCTGATAGGACTTTCCCTCTCTTCCATAAGCTGTCTTTAGGTGCTGAAAGGCTGCAAGGAGTTTTCCACAGCCCCCTCTTTGTTCCAGGCTGAACAGCCCCAGCTCTCTCGGGGTCTCTCAGTGTCAGACACCTGAGCACCTTCCTGGCCTCACTGCACCTGCTCCAACAGCTCCAGGTCTTTCTTGTGCTCAGGACTCCAGACCTGGATGCAACCCTCCAGGTGGAGTCTCAGGAGAGCAGAGCACAGGGGGAGAATCCCCCCACCTCAACCTGCTCATAGTACAGTTTGTCCACCTGTATATTTTTGTTTCCTGCCCTGGTATTGCTACCTGCTGTCTTTCACTTGGGAGCCAAACAGAATACAGGCTAGTTTTGGTAAATGATCAGTTCCTTTAGCTCTTAATGTGATTAAACAACTTCTCTAGTGCTTAGTATCTAGAAAAATGGGGAGTTATTTCAGTATCTCAAATATGCTCCAACAGACCTTTTCGTGAACCTTGTGAGATGCCTCCTGTGCAAGCACAATCTGCACATCAGAGAAGAGTTTACCACAACCAAACTCTGCTCTGAGCTACGTTCCTCAGGGTCAGAGAAGCAGCAGTAGTTCAGTAGCAGTGA